ATTGAAAATTGAAAATTGAAAAATTGAAAGAATGGAACGAATGGAACGAATTGAACGAATTGAAAGAATGGAAAGAATTGAAAGAATGGAAAGAATGAAAAAAGAAGAAGAAGAAGAAAAGACGAATATTAGTTGGTTGGTTGGTTGGTTGCTTGGTTGGTTGGTCATTAGCAGCAGCAGTGAGTGAGTGAGTGAGTGCAGTGAGAGTGTGAGTGAGTGAGTGAGAGTGGAGTGGAGTGAGTGATTCAGATACTGGTACCGGTAGAGTACAGGTAGGTACGGGTACGGGTACGGATACAGGTACGGGTACGGGTACGGGTACAGTATATGATAATGAGAGTGAGAGTGGGAGTGAGAATGAGAATGAGAGTGAGAGTGAGAGAGTGGGAGTGATAGTAGGAGTGAGAGTGAGAGTGAGAGTGAGAGTGAGAGTGATAATGGGAGTGAGAGAGAGAGAGAGAGAGTGAGTGAGAGTGAGAGTGTGAGAGATAATGAGTGAGAGTGAGAGTGAGAGTGATAATGGGAGTGAGAGAGTGAGAGTGAGAATGAGAGTGAGAGTGAGTGAGAGTAACTTGATCCCCATCTCGGCGATTGATTAATTGATGAAATTTCTATAATAAAAAGCCCCCCCGAGTTAGGGATAATAGATAGTGCAATTATTCAAGCATGTAGCAACAACGCATCTCGGCGAATACATCATAGAACATAACGACGAGGGTGATAGTAGTCACTGAAGACGTCGATATCGATATCAGAATATCAACCATCATTCTTAATCCTCATCACTGTCATCCCCGAAAATAGCTTGAAAGACCGCCTCGCCGGCGCGCTGGCCCTCGAGCGCCTCGTTCCGCCCAGCGTCGACCACCACCTCCTTCGGCTTCTCCTCCACTGACACCTCACTGGTCCCATTCTCGGCTGTAGGTTGCCTACTGCCACTGCCACTGCCACTGCCACTGCCACTGCCACCACCACCCCTGCTCTCATTGCGCTGAGAATAAGACTCCCTCATCATCTCATCGATAGCCTCCTTAGACACCACATCCGGCGCCGTCCTCCTTCCCGCAACATTCTCCTCCCCGTGTTCTGTAGCGCCAGGCTGCACGTGCGCAGGTGGCTTGACGTTGAACCGCTTGCACAGCAGCCGCGATGGGTACCAGTCCGCCGTACTCCTCGTCATGGGCCCGTACATGCCGAGCTTCGCAGCCTGCTCGGCCGGATCTACCGGTTTGGGGGCAGGCGTACTCAGCAGACTCGAGTCCGGCGCGTCGGAAGCGAGTCTCGGCGCCGTGGTCGAGGACGTGAAGCGCGTGGCCATCATGCCGGACATCGGCTTGAAGATCTGGGCGCAGTTCGCGAACTCCCTCAGTTCTTTGAGCCAGTCGTCTTTGGATACCCCAGGGCCTTTTTCGGGCATGGCGGGGTTGACGCCGGCTTGGTGCTCCAGATATGCGCGGTAGCGACTGCGCTTTGCTTCGTCTTCGCCGTACGGCATGAACCCGCTCGCGCCGCGACTTAACGCTGCCGCAGCGGTGGACGTGTCGACTTTTGGTATCTGCGCTAGGACATCTCTGTGCCGCTCTTCGTCTGTCATGCTGTACCCCGGTGGGATTTCTCCCAAGGCGGCTGGGAGGTCGGATTTTCCCGACGCTGAGACTAAGCGTTCTCGCGCGGCTGGAGTCAGGAAGTCGAAGACTGATTTCCCGGGGAGTGTTGCTTCGCCCAGGAGGGATGCGCGGGATCTTGGGTCCAGTTTCGAGGCTTTGGCTGCCTCTGCTGTGGAGAGGTAGGATGCATTTGTAGAGCCGGCTTTCGCTTGTTTGGAGGATACCCATCCTTCTGGAACTTTAGGCGCGTATTCGCCAGCAGCTTGAGTGACGGATGAGAACTCGTCTCTACTGCTCAGAATGAAGCCATCCAGAGGTAAACGGCCATCGTGACATTTCCGTCGATTGAGGGATGCTTTCGCCAGCGCCGTCTTCTTCGAAATGAATACCGGTGTTGACGACAGTAGCGGATTCGTAACCCCTTTCGCCGGCTTCTTCTTCTTCTTCTTCTTTTTGTCCCCTCCGATGACTTTGTTGTAAGATATCCGAGGTCCAATCTCATACGGATCCTCGTCATCTGATCCCGTGTCATTCAAAATCCCAATCCCAATCCCCCCCCGAACAGGCGTCTTATTGTTCTTCACGGGTTTGGGGGCCAAGAAGCCTCCATCCTCTTCCTCGTCGTCCGACTTGGCTTTCTCTGACCCTGCGCCCTTGGAAGCCCGCCTGGTCTCTCCATCAAAGCCGAGACCCTTGTGATCGTTCTTCCGTACGAACCTAATCATGTGCGTGTTCTCGGGTGCGAAGAGATGCGTCGTGCTCGCGTCATCGAGGGATTGCTCGACACTATCCAGCCGCGCTTTCCGTCGTACCTTCGGTCCCACGCCTTGTCCCTCTTTCCAGCCCATCTTCTTCAGCAGCTTCACCCCCACCGTCTCTCCCTCTATCCGGAATAAATCGATCAGGGCACCTCTTCGATTGGCATCGTCTTGCGTAGACCCAAGTCCTGCGAAGCCCTCTGCAGTCTGCACCCTCCTCTCATCTTCGGCATCTGCGATATCCTCTTCGTCCATGAAATCCTCGGGCCGCTGCTGCACAGGTTTGGGTCCATCCTTCTTGCGATTCGTGCGTGAGGAAACGAATGTTGAAGGGGTCCATCCTTCCTTGGATCCTACGGTATTGAAATATCTGGAGATCGTCGGTCAGACTCGTTCCGTCTCGGGGAGCGGGTATGATGCTCACCCTGCACTGAAACCACCCGTAAAAGCACCATGGAGACGCTTCACGCCCCTCTCATCTCTCACCTCCTGCTTCCACACAGGCACATAGGAGCCGTCATCTCGAACGTCACGGTCGAGGGGAGGCAGAGGAGTGCCGAAGGCGACGAATGGGGACTGCTGCGCCTGGAGATCTGCTTCGAAGTTTGCGCGCGATCGTTTGCTAGACATGGCGGTAGCATGAGAGCCGATTTGTTCCTTCTGAGGCCAAGTATTCAGAATGCGGGAGAAGGCTGTCCCACAGCCTTCAGCCTTGGGGATGGAGCGTGCAAGAGGGGGGGGGGGGGAGTGGGGGCACTCTCATCAGCTGCTAAGCGCGAGTGTCTATTCCAAGCCAGCACCCGTGACCGACCTCGGGGTAGATCAAATCCGGTTGTTTACACTGCATCGCCCGGAGAAGTTGCTGCATGCTGAGATTCTGGATCTGGCACAATCCATCTCGGGTATGTATATCTGAACCGGTTCTGGCTGAGATTTTCGCCTTGGTCGAGTTATTGAGGCTCAACATGTCGGCTTAGGTCGGCTTGCATAGAAAGTCCGAGGATATTGCGGAAGGTTGGGATTTTCACGAATGCAACGCTGAGGGGCACGGAATCAATCATAGGTAGCTGTTTTTCAAACTCATATTTCTCTGGGTGCACGATCCCGCCAATATTGTTGTTGCATGTAGTACGGTAGCGGTAGCTGTCTTAGCAATCGAGTGTATGTAAGCTTGATTTGATGTCACGGGAGAAGGCAATGAATGACTCCGGCCAGGTCCAGGTCCAGGTCCAGGTCCAGGCCCAGGCCCAGGCAAAGCAAAAGGGCAAAAACATACTACGTACGTACCGGTAGTAGAGACGAGCGAAGGTACTGCGGACGGACAGCTGCAGGAGGATTTCGGGATCCTTCGAGCGAGTACGGTAGGCTGGTACCACTAACTTAGCTGGCTGTACTTAGGTTACTTTTACGAACGAATTACGAATTGGGAATTACGAGCTAGGAATTACGGCCGGGTATACGTAGTATTTTGCTTGCAGCGGCAGAAGGATTGATGAGCGCGGTCCAGGTTCCAACTGGCGGGCGCACTGGGCTGAGGGCTGATGGCTAAGGGCTGAGGGCTCAGGGCTCATGGCTCATGGCTCATGGCTCATGGCTCATGGCTCATGGCTCATGGCTCATGGCTTGATGGCTTGATGGCTGATGGCTGATGTCCGTGAGAGCAAATCCAAGGGGAAGCAGGGGAAGAGATTCATGTCCGGGTGCGGGTGCGGTGCGGGTGCGGGTACCGGTAACGGTACCTACCACTACTCGGTACCGGTACTACGACTACTACTAGGTCCTTCGGTACAGTAAGTAGGTAGTAGGTAGTACCGGTACTGTACGGTAGTACGTAGTAGCTTCGAAGACCTTGTCACATTGCACACTGCACATGGTGAACCCGGCCTGTCTGTCTGTCTGTCTGTCTATCCACCACTACTGACTGTACTCCCGAGGTACTTCAGAGAAAAGCCATCTCATCTCGAACCCATTGCATTGCATTACATTGCATTACATGACCTTACATTACCTTACATTGCACTGCACTGCACTGCACTGCATTGCTGTCATCCTGGCTGTCTGTCATACCGGTACCCTACCCTACCCTACCGTACTCCGTGCTCCTTGCTTGACTGGATGAACGATCGGTCTTGCCCGTCCGGACTACCTACAGAAACAGGATAGAGGACCCAGCCACTCGGTGGAGCCCAAGCCCAAGCCCAAGCCGCCCAACCTGAACCTGACACTGTCTCTCCCTTTATCCTCCATTCACCCGTCGCCGGGGACAAAACATAGCTCTTTGTTTGTACTGCACTGCACTGCACTGCGCTGCGCTGCACTGTATCCTCCGACTACGACAGTAGAAAACCTGCTAACAATTAATTTGGCCTCGTTCACTTCCACTTGCTGCCCTCACGGCCTGATTCCGCATTGGGGCAACACCTCTACCTCCTCCACGGCGATCCATCCACCCATCCATTGTACCTGAAGCCCATTGCAATGAACTGAACCGAACTGAACCGAACTGAACTGACGGACAAGGGGCACGGCTAAAGTCAAGGTTGCGGCGACAAGGCCGGAATTCGACTTCGTATTAAGTAAGTAATACTTAATAAGAAGTAAGCGGGTGCATAGTACAGTATAATACAGTACAGTACAGTAACGTACCGCTATTCTCGCCTGCCTTGCCTTGCCTTGCCTTGCCTCGCCCTGCCGGTCTTGCGTTGCCCGCCCAGCATGACAACCTTCGTCTCGCCCACCTTAGAACGAACTGGCTCACGACGCCGTCAGTCGGCTTCCACCTCTGCCTCGGGTCTACCCGCAACTCCTAACCGGTCACCGTCCACGAGAGTGAGGAATACTCCTTCCCGCACCAGATCCACCAACTACGAGCACCAGGACCACCAGGATCACGACCCGCACCCGCACCCGCACCCGCACCAGCACCAGCACCAACACCAGCACCAGCACCAATACCACCAACGGCCTTCGTCGTCGCGCCACGGAGCTGTCGAGGACATCCTGCCGCAAGCCAACTATGAGACTTCGACCTTGGCGCAAACATCAACACGAAGAAGAAGCTCTGCAAGCAAAGACCGCCCTCTCCCACCGCGGACCACACCAGCCAAGAGCGCATCGGCCCATCACCGTGCAAGCCATCGTCCATCCCCAGCAGACATGACCACCTCCGCGAATGGAGGAGGCCCCGCGCCGGTGGTGGCGGCCCAGGAGTCGCGACAGCTCGGCCGGTCGGGAAAATCGAGGACGACGATACCGGCGCCGACGGGGAACTGGATACTGGGCAAGACCATCGGAGCGGGGAGCATGGGCAAAGTGAAGTTGGCTCGGAAGGCCGAAGGCGGGGAACAGGCATGCGCTTCCGTACAACGCGTCGAGGAATACCACTGATACAGATCCCAGGTGGCAGTCAAGATTGTCCCGCGCGGCTCGACCGAGGATGGAAGTCATCAGAGCCGGGCAGACCGCGAGCGGGCCGACCATTCCAAGGAGATTCGAACGGCTCGAGAGGCCGCAATCGTCACCCTGTTAGATCACCCCTACATCTGTGGCATGCGAGATGTCGTGCGCACTACACATCACTGGTATATGCTCTTTGAGTACGTAAATGGGGGACAGATGCTCGACTACATCATCTCGCACGGGAGATTGAAGGAGAAGCAGGCCCGGAAATTCAGCCGACAAATCTCAAGCGCCTTGGACTACTGCCACCGGAACAGCATAGTCCACAGAGATCTGAAGATCGAGAACATCCTGATCAGCAAGAGCGGCGATATCAAGATTATCGATTTCGGCTTGAGCAACTTGTTTGCGCCCCGAGGTCATCTGAAGACGTTCTGTGGCAGTTTGTACTTTGCCGCACCGGAGTTGCTGCAGGCGAAGGCATATACGGGGCCCGAGGTGGACGTGTGGAGTTTTGGTATCGTGCTCTACGTGCTGGTGTGCGGCAAGGTCCCTTTCGACGATCAGAGCATGCCAGCGCTGCACGCAAAGATCAAGAAGGGCGTTGTGGACTATCCCAGCTGGCTGAGCCCCGGTAGGCCATCTTCCGTCTGCTGTGCGCCCTACCCTACTGACAAGCTCGTAGAATGCAAGAATCTGATCTCGCGCATGCTGGTGACGGACCCAAAGCAGCGAGCAAATTTGCAAGAGATCATGAACCACCCGTGGATGATCAAAGGCTATGGAGCTGCACCAGAGAACTACCTGCCCCTTCGTGAACCCATACAGATGCCACTCGACCCGAATGTCATTCAAGCCATGACAGGATTCGACTTTGGCTCGCCCGAAACCATCTCGGCTCAGCTGACCGAGGTAATCGAGTCGCCGGAGTATAACAGAGCAGTGCGATTAGCTATGCAAGAACGGGAGAACCAGGGGCCGCCCAAGGACATGGAGCGGAAGAGAGGATTTGGATTCGACTTTTACAAGCGCAGAAATTCGTCCACCAGCCGGGATACCTTGACCGCCCCAAGCTCAGATGCCCTGGCACTGGGAAGCGATCCGCTCAATGCTTTCCATCCCCTCGTTTCGGTGTATTACCTGGTGCGCGAAAAGCAGGACCGTGATCGACTTGCCGCTCACCCGGGCGCGACGAGCATGCCTCGATCACCAGGAGAAGCTCCGCTGCAGATGCCGGATCTCGCCCCGCCAAAGGCCGCGCACACGAATGCTGCCGCGTACGAGATGCCGGGCGAGAAGGCAACAGGAGGCCGGTCACGACCACGTGCCCGCACCCACGGCGAGGATGATGTTACGGAGAATGTGAAGAATCTGAGAATCCCGGGTTCTAGCGTGCCTGCTCCGCCACCCGTCGTGGAGCCAGCTCTCGAGTATCACCCTGTGCGTAAGGAGAGTACTGCTGCGGGGATCTTGCGACGATTCAGTACCAGGAGGAGAAGGGACACCTCGGAGAAATCCCACCCTCCCCTGGTCACCATGCAATCACCTCATGAGCCGAGTGGCCTCCGCAAGAGCTTCAGCGTCCGACGCTCTCGGGAGCCGGCGACCGAACGCGCATCATCGTCAATGATACGCTCAGGAGGTAGCCAGTCTCACCATGGTGATCTGTTGTCGAACCCACCCCCGCCTGCTAGCAGCAACCGACCCAGCAGCAAGACGCTGGATAGATCCAAAAGTGTCAGTTCCGCAGAATTTCAGAGGAAGGAGCTCCGCAGAGGCGTTCCTGAGGCCACACCTCCACGTGTGACCTACAGGGAACCACCGCCCACTTCAGGATCGGATCGCTCGATACCTGCCGTCACGGAAAATCCACCACGTGAACGGGAGGAACAGCCGAGACCCCAGGTGGCCCCCAAGGCAGCTCCGTCTTCCATGAGAGCCAAGTCGCTTGGTCACGCTAGGGGTGAGAGTATCCAGGCACGCCGCGTACGACGAGCAGAGGCCAGAGAAGCCAACGTCCCGGAGGAAACTGATGCCGAAATAGGTGATGGAAGTGGGCCATCCAGCGAACGAGTCAATACTGCAGATAACGTGAAACCCGTCTTCCTCAAAGGGCTGTTCAGCGTATCTACGACGTCGACGAAGCCGGTACGTGCCATCAGAGCGGACATCATTCGGGTCCTCCGCCAGTTAGGAGTCGAGTACACGGAGATTCGAGGTGGGTTTACGTGTCGACACACCCCCTCGATCGATCTGAACAAGGTGGTGGACCCCCCTCCAAGCAGCCACAGTACCCACACTCCTGGAAACAAGAGGCGGATCAGCTTTGGGGGGCTCATGGGTGCTGGTGGCGGCTTAGAGCGGGAGCGGGAGGACTTCCGAGATGCAGAGAGATCTCCTCCAACTCCCCGAACCCCCGCGAGGACCCGCGGCGATACTAGCTTGACCAACTCGGACGCGTCTGATGACAGCATTGCCAGGGATCCCCGAGGTCCTTCGAGCCGAGCCGTGGGCGAGACGAGCACCCACGTCCAGAGCGAACTCGGTGGCAGCATGATCCTCGAATTCGAAATCTTCATCGTGAAGGTCCCTCTTCTCTCCTTACATGGCATCCAATTTAAGCGACTGGCCGGCGGGACCTGGCAATACAAAAACATGGCGGACCAAGTCTTACGCGAACTCCGCCTCTGAGAGGACGGCAAGACTAGGCCGTAACAGGTGCGACAACTTGGGACGGATCTGCTTTCCTTGTCGAAGAGCAACGTTACAGGCAGCGAGCGAGCATGCATCCTATTGCTGATTCATGACCGGAACCAATCTTTTGGCTCGGACTTTCGTCCACTGGGGTCTTTTCCGTGATGACTTTTATGTTGTCGTTTGTCTTTTGAGCGTTGGAGCCACGGCTGATGTGTAGGATCGGACCTTTCTCTTTTCAATAATGTGTGCATGGGATGGAGATGAGTTGGGGAGGGTGGGCATCGGGTGGGCACCGTCACAGCGCACGGGTTTGGATTTTGATGCAGGCACGCTATTGGAAATAGTGATTGTAGGTAGTCAGGTAGCATAATCAATGTACGACACGTGGAACGATCTTTCGGCTGCTCTCTCACGGTTGCTTGCCTTCTGGAAGGAGACAGTCTGAGGCTTGGAACAGATACTTGTACGAAGTAGGTGACAGCACGCACCGATAGGAAAGACAACTTCAATTGCCGATTTGTCTTCTCTCATACATTTACGAGGACTCTTCTCCCTTTATATATAGATATATATTTAAAAATAGATTTGCTATAATATCAATCCACGTGATGCTTGAGGCTCTCGCCGAGACAATCCCGTTGTTCAGTTGCCACTAACTAGGCAGGAGGAGCCCCCGCTTCATTCCGTACACCGACTCGATCTCGACCACAGGACCAACTTCGCCCTCGAACCGCAGACCACCGACGACAACGTGTTCGGCAGCACCTAACACTTACCACATCATCTTCTACCGCCCGTGTCCAACACCTGAATCGCTCTCACAGCGGTCTGATCTGCTGTGCGACACCGATCGCAGCTCGAACCCTCTCTCCATCACATCTCAGCTTTCGCGGCTTCTCGCTGGGCCACCGCGGGCGAAGCAAGATGCTCCCAGGGGCGCACGTTTTCTCGCATCAGCAGCAATACACTCCTCACGGTGAGCCAGGATGGATGCACCACCAGCAGCAGCAGAGCCATAACCAGCATGCCCAGCACGCCGCCGCGGCCGCAGCTTCTGCCGCTCAGCAGCAGCACTACAATCGGATTGCCGCGAACCAGAACGGTGTCGGCCCGGCCATCCAGAATCACCATGGGCAGGATACAAGCATGATGGATAACGTCACGGAGGAGAACCGGCGGACGCTGAACTACATTGCGGATCTGCTGAATGAGGATACACGGGAGGCGGCTCTGCTCGAGCTCAGCAAGAAGCGGGAACAAGTGCCAGAGCTGGCTTTGATTCTATGGCATTCATTTGGTACGTGGATGAGAGAGAGAGAGAGCTGGCGATGCGGAGTCTAACTTGTGCCAGGTGTCATGACATCCCTTCTTCAGGAGATCATCTCCGTCTACACCCTCCTCAACCCGTCACAACTCACGGCAGCAGCTTCCAACCGCGTCTGCAATGCGCTGGCACTCCTTCAATGCGTAGCATCCCACAATGAGACTCGAGCACTCTTCCTTAATGGTATCTCGTGAGCTTCTCTACTATTCGGCCCTAGCTAATGTTGCCAGCGCATATCCCGCTATTCCTCTACCCGTTCCTCAACACCACCTCGAAGTCGAGACCCTTCGAATACCTGCGCCTCACATCCCTGGGGGTAATAGGTGCCCTGGTCAAGAACGACTCGTCGGACGTCATCAACTTCCTGTTGACCACGGAGATCATCCCACTATGCCTTCGAATTATGGAGACGGGATCGGAGCTCAGCAAGACCGTAGCAATCTTCATCGTGCAGAAGATACTCCTCGACGACCACGGACTGAACTACATCTGTGCCACGTATGAGCGATTCTACGCTGTGGGTACGGTCCTGAGCAATATGGTCTCGCAGTTGGTGGAACAGCAGACGGCTAGACTTCTCAAGCACGTCGTGCGCTGCTTTCTCCGGTAAGGACACCCATACTTTAGGTAATGGCTATATATTGACTGCGGTGTAGTCTCAGCGACAATGCACGCGCCCGAGAAGCTTTACGGCAATGCCTCCCCGAGCCCCTCCGCGATGCAACTTTCTCCTCCGTCCTCCGCGACGATGCCGCCACTAAACGCTGCCTCGCCCAGCTGCTCATCAATCTATCCGACAACGTCGTTGAACAAAACCAAGTCAACCACCCTGGAATATGATGATTCGGATTTGATCTCTGCCGTTGCCTTTCCACCTCTCTGTACCAACAAAATCACACCGGATTATGGGCTGCTTGCGCTGGGGGATTTGAAATGTTTCATCTGGAGGTTTTGCATAGAAGACGATACCCGGGTTCCTTCTCAAATTTTCTCTTCGGAAGAAAAGTAATCGAGCGTTCACACTCCCCTAGTCGTCAATGCAGGCAGGGAGGCTGTTACGAAAAAAACAAACAAACGAGTTGCTTATTTCTTCTTCCACAAAAATCATTGTTTTTTTTTGTTTTTTTTTTGGACTGTGGGGGAGTTGCTTGGAGCGTGCGTGGCTGCTTGCCTTGCGTCTGCTTGGGGCAAGTTCTGGCCGGGAGCGAGAGAGTGATTCTAGATTCTTGCCCTTTCCGGGAAGGACCAGGGCACTCTCTTCGGTTCCCGTTTATGCCTCTCTTATTCCTCCTTTTCGTTTTGATTGACCATTTACTCGGGTGTTTGTGCTTGGCGGTTAGGCATCTTGTGGGCTCGGGACGGGCGTTCGTGGAAGAAGGGGGGTTTGTTTGCTTTGCACATGGATGGCAGGACGGATATGAATGGATGGGTGGCATAAGGCGAGCTTTGTAAGATAAGATAGTGCGGTGGGCGCGGTGGACGAGTGGGTGCTTTGTTAATTCAGGAATAGACTCAAAGTCGACCATGGTTTTTTTTCCCCCNCTCTCTCTCTCTCTCTCT